GTGTTATTCACATCATGGGGGGATGGGCACATAAGGGGGGGAACCTATAGTCTATGGGGGGAACACATCTAGAGTGTGTGTGTGTGTGTGTGTGTGTGTGTGTGTGTGTGTGTGTGTGTGTGTGTGTGTGTGTGTGTGTGTGTGTGTGTGTGTGTGTGTGTGTGTGTGTTTTATCTGATCCGGATGGTTACTAATTCCTTTTCTTTATGGCGGTCATTTTTGCCCGGGAACACCATGGGTGTTACAAAGTTGACTAAATTATCCAAAATTCAATGAAAGTGGTGATCAGCAAGTTGATTTGTTCAAATGTCTACTGTGAAGGATATCATGAAGCCTTAATGCAATCGAATGTAAAACAAAAAAGTTACGATTGATGAAAGTAGTAAACCGGTCAGATTTGACCCGAACACAACAGGAGGGTTAATACTAATATAATTCACCAAAAGAAAACCACAACATAAAAAACACATTAAAGAAAAATATGATATTTTGGGCTTGTTTTGCATTTAATGATGGTTTAAGACACTCACAAGAATTTCCTTTAGAAGTGCAGAAAGTACAGCTAAAGAAAATCCAATGGGAGGCTGCTTTCTGTTTTCATGGACGACCATTCTTTTTAATTGGGCTTTCAATTTGGGGTAATTTTAGTGGTATCACTGTTCATGTTTCTGTGATATATAACTCTTTCTGTTTGAAAGCACTTTCTTCATATTGCATGAAAGGTGCTCTATAAATAAAGTGTATTATTATTATAGCTGAATTTTGGAAGTTTGCCTCCATAACACGTCGTTCTAGTGGAGAGAAAACATCACTACAAGATATTTAGATGTCGATGTTACTAACTTTGTCCTTTTGTGTCTGTAAAGTTCTCCTAAATGAACCCAAAACAAACTCCATAAACAACACAAAAAAGGTAATCTTTGTTGTTCTTGTAGGATTTAATAAAGCTTTATTTGAAGATTTGAAAATAGGGTCGGAGAAGAAGGACATGATGCTGCCGCTGCAAAATCTCATCTTTCATGTGCGGGGCATCTGCTGCCGAGCGCCTCTCTTCTGCCTGTTACACTTTGAGTTTTAGACCACTTTTATTTGTTTTAATTATATTTTTAACGTAGACAATCAACTGGAGAAGTTCAAGGTGATTCTTTTAATGTTATGTTTTTCCCTCTTCCCCTGCAGTGAGTTAAAAATGTATTGAATTTTTACAATACTTGTTTTTAAAGGGATATTTTTGAAATGTACTCCGAATACTGAGTCAATAATGTACAATTCAGCAGCATTTATAAACTGCTCCACTTTCATTCTTAGCTATATTCTGAAGGTTTTTATTATAAAGTTTATTCATAGCCTGGTTGATATAACTTTCTCTGCCTTAAAACATGACAAAAAAATCTAACGTTAAAAAAAATGTTCTGTATATACAAAGAAAATCCCCATTTTCTTTAATTTCATGAAAGTTAAAATAGAGTTTGAACCAAAGCAATTATCAAATGTCATATTTCTATAAGGAGAATGTAAATACAATTATTATATTTTGTATAAATGCAAAACCTATTTGACATGAAGTTAATTATGATATATATTAGTTAACAACGTTACCCTATAATCCCCTCGTAGCCGTGTTAGAATCAGAGCACTTATATAACTTTCTCCCTCCCGATCACGGAGCTTTTCCCCGGCACACATCCTCACTCATAGCAGGAGAAAGGGCGGGAGGAAGGAAACGATGATAATGGCATTCCTCCAGTTATTTTACAAACAAAGTGGGAAATCAATTGTCCAAAAAAGGTTGATTTTGACATTTTAAAAACTGTTTTTCATTTTTTTATTTCATAGACCAAACTGTCAGCGTTGTGAAAAGAGATCTGCTTTGACTTCTGACTCCAAACACATACAATTAATACAAATGAATACATTAATTCACATAAAATAAACAATGTTATTGAGACAGGTTGGAAATCAATGGCTACTGTGCAGTGAATTCAAATACATTGGCACACACATCCACCCTTTTTCTTCCCTTTTGAGTTAGTTTAATACACGTGAAAATGCCAAAATAGTTAAATACTATCACGTTAATAATCCAGAACCTCTTAATTTAATTAACTTGCAAATTCATTAAATCAGTTAAATGTGAATTTGATCGTTAGCACTGATTAATTTGTCCTTGACTTTCTCAATAGAGATTAAGTTAATATTGTTTTGGTGAATTACTTCGGCCGTTATAATAAGAATGGTGTTGTGTAAATCGGATTTGGCGACGGCCCGTTCTACACATTTTATAAAAACGTAACAAAATAAAACTGTATCCCCACCCCCATTTCACGGTGAATTTAAGGATTTTCTGCCTTCGCTCTGTGTTTTCCGGCTGACCCTTTGCCGGGAGTAAATAAAACCTCCGTCTGAATGTGACCAATGTTTCTGAGATAACAAAGTGAAGTTATCCAGTTCGCTGCACCCAAAACATGAGTTGATTAAGACGCCAAAAGAAATAAGATGGGTTACATTTAAACTTTGAAACGGTGCTCACTTAACCCGCAAAATAATAAAAAGGGATCTGTTAAATTAACTTAAGAAACTAAGAACAGTTCAGAGGAACTCAACACAATAAAGGTATCTAAAACCTTTGGGGGAAATGTAAGTTCACACGACTTAATCTTTTTAATTATCTTTTGGGTTCACAGTGATGTATTCTGTATCTGAACAGGGAAGAATACAATCCCACATCTCCTTTAAAACCACAGAAAAAATCCTATAGGAGAAGTTTTAAGGTTTTATCTTATAATTAAATATGTTGCCTTCTTTACCCGTAGTGAGATACATATTTTTTGTTGATTTTTAAAATGTTAAAACATGCTAAAAAGTATTGATTGAGAATTTAGTAAAATATTCAAAATGCCCTCTTGCAAGAAAAATAAAAGAAAAATGAACCATGTTATATCAAATGTCATTTTAATGTAAAGTAAATTATTATGATATGTTATTATATTATTATGTAAGAATTATTTTCATATTTGAACATAACATTTCAGACAACTTGAAATCCAAAATTAAGTGTCCTAAACATCTGAGAAAGATTCATGTGGAAATCTCCATTTTGACTTTTCCTCACCCTTCCTCTAACTGAGATGTTAGCAGTAAAAGTACACAGACCTGTTATAACACTATTAATACAACACTGCAAAAACACCCTTTTCAAAAGTCCTGCTTTCAATACTTAATTTTGATAAAAGTAGTTTAACAGATTAACACATGTGGTTTTAACTTGAAGCGCTCCGTCCGTCTAAATGTGGGTCGACGCAGCAGGAAAACTCTCGTTCATTTATATGATCAAAAAAGAGCTGTGAGGGCTTTTCGTAAGTAATTTAAGTTTTAAATTAGTAACTATTATATAAGTTTTAGTAATACATCTATTAAAGTGTGTGATGGTGTTACTGTGAGAGAGTCTCCTCCATCCCACACACACACACACACACACACACACACACACACACACACACACACACACACACACACACACACACACACACACACACCTTCAAACACAGACACACACACACACACACACACACACACACACACACACACACACACACACATACCATGTATACATCACTTCAGGGGACATTACATTGACTTACATGCATTTCCTGGAGACTTATCCTAACCTTAACCATAACCAACACATGCCT